GGGAAAAAAACGGGAAAAAATGGGAAACAACGGGAAAAACTGAGTGAGGAGCCAGGGAGGCACCGGGATGTCCCTGGATCCTGAGGAATTTCGGGATGGGAAGGAGAATCCCGGGAATTTCCCGGCGTCTCTGAGGTTCCCGAGGGTGGGAACCGCTCGTGGAAAAGGAGAATTCCCAAAAAAATAAAATCTCTTGGCCTGGGAATGGCCCCAGAATTCCGGGAATGGCCCCGGCCCTGCTGCTCCCAACGCTCCGGGATGAGATTCCCGAAATTCCCGCCGGGAATTCCAAATCCTGGGAGCTCAAGTCTTCGACAGGGGAAGGGTTCAGGCAACGCCCACCTGGAAATCCAAGAAATCCCTGGAATTCCTGGCTCTGAGTCCTGGGGAAGCTCCCAGAAATCCCACGGGATTGGGATCCCACGTTTCCCATCGGAGCTGCTCCATCAATCCTCCCCCAAAATCCCTGGAAAAAGGGCTCCAAAATCCCTGGAAAAGCATTCCCAAAATCCCTGGAAAAGCATTCCCAAAATCCCTGGAAAAGAGCCCCAAAATCCCTGGAAAATCATCCCCAAAATCCCTGGAAAAGAGCCCCAAAATCCCTGGGAAAGACCCCCAAATTCCCTGGAAAAATGGCCCCAAAATCCCTGGGAAAGAGCCCCAAATTCCCTGGAAAAATGGCCCCAAAATCCCTGAGAAAATGGCCATAAAATTCCTGGAAAAACAGCTCCAAATCCCTGGAAAAATGGTCCCAAAATCCTGGGGAAACATTCCCAAAATCCCTGGGAAAAAGAGCCACGAATTCCTCGTAAAACATCGCCAAATTCCCTGGAAAAATGGCCCCAAAATCCCTGGGAAAGAGCCCCAAAAATCCCTGGAAAAACATCCCCAAAATCCCTGGATAAATGTCCCCAAATTCCTTGGAAAAATGTCCCCAAATTCCCTGGAAAAGAGCCCCAAATTCCCTGGGAAAATGGCCATAAAATTCCTGGAAAAACAGCTCCAAATCCCTGGAAAAATGGTCCCAAAATCCTGGGGAAACATTCCCAAAATCCCTGGGAAAGACACCCAAAATCCCTGGAAAAATGACCATAAAATCCCTGGAAAACATCCCCAAATTCCCTGGAAAAATGGCCCCAAAATCCCTGGATAAATGTCCCCAAATTCCTTGGAAAAATGGCCCCAAATTCCCTGGGAAAGAGCCCCAAATTCCCTGGAAAAGAGCCCCAAATTCCCTGAGAAAATGGCCATAAAATTCCTGGAAAAACAGCTCCAAATCCCTGGAAAAATGGTCCCAAAATCCTGGGAAAATATCCCCAAAATCCCTGGGAAAAAGAGCCACGAATTCCTCGTAAAACATCGCCAAATTCCCTGGAAAAATGGCCCCAAAATCCCTGGGAAAGAGCCCCAAAAATCCCTGGGAAAACATCCCCAAAATCCCTGGATAAATGTCCCCAAATTCCTTGGAAAAATGGCCCCAAATTCCCTGGAAAAGAGCCCCAAATTCCCTGGGAAAGAGCCCCAAATTCCCTGGGAAAGAGCCCCAAATTCCCTGGGAAAGAGCCCCAAATTCCCTGGGAAAGAGCCCCAAATTCCCTGGGAAAATGGCCATAAAATTCCTGGAAAAACAGCTCCAAATCCCTGGAAAAATGGTCCCAAAATCCTGGGGAAATATTCCCAAAATCCCTGGGAAAGAGACCCAAAATCCCTGGAAAAATGACCATAAAATCCCTGGAAAACATCCCCAAATTCCCTGGAAAAATGTCCCCAAAATCCCTGGATAAATGTCCCCAAATTCCTTGGAAAAATGTCCCCAAATTCCCTGGAAAAGAGCCCCAAATTCCCTGGGAAAATGGCCATAAAATTCCTGGAAAAACAGCTCCAAATCCCTGGAAAAATGGTCCCAAAATCCTGGGGAAACATTCCCAAAATCCCTGGGAAAGACACCCAAAATCCCTGGAAAAATGACCATAAAATCCCTGGAAAACATCCCCAAATTCCCTGGAAAAATGGCCCCAAAATCCCTGGATAAATGTCCCCAAATTCCTTGGAAAAATGGCCCCAAATTCCCTGGAAAAGAGCCCCAAATTCCCTGGAAAAGAGCCCCAAATTCCCTGGGAAAGAGCCCCAAATTCCCTGGGAAAGAGCCCCAAATTCCCTGGGAAAGAGCCCCAAATTCCCTGGGAAAGAGCCCCAAATTCCCTGGAAGAGAGCCCCAAATTCCCTGGGAAAATGGCCATAAAATTCCTGGAAAAACAGCTCCAAATCCCTGGAAAAATGGTCCCAAAATCCTGGGGAAACATTCCCAAAATCCCTGGGAAAGAGACCCAAAATCCCTGGAAAAATGACCATAAAATCCCTGGAAAACATCCCCAAATTCCCTGGAAAAATGTCCCCAAAATCCCTGGATAAATGTCCCCAAATTCCTTGGAAAAAGAGCCCCAAATTCCCTGGAAGAGAGCCCCAAATTCCCTGAGAAAATGGCCATAAAATTCCTGGAAAAACAGCTCCAAATCCCTGGAAAAATGGTCCCAAAATCCTGGGAAAATATCCCCAAAATCCCTGGAAAAACGACCATAAAATCCCTGGATAACATCCCCAAATTCCCTGGAAAAGAGCCCCAAAATCCCTGGGAAAATGACCATAAAATCCTGGAAAAATGCCCCCAAAATCCTGGAAAACCAGCCCAAATCCCTGGAAAAACCCCGACATTTTGGGAATCGTGCCCAGGATTTGGGAATTCGCTGTGGGGGAGGGGTGGGGAGGGCTGGGAATTCCATGGAAAATTCCATGGGAATGAGGGAGAAAGGGGGATCCTGACCTGAGGAGAGCGCGGAGCTCCGGAGCGGCTCAGACGATCCCAAACCTTTCCGCCCTTTTCCGCTTCTTTGCCTGGATTTGGGAATGGCCAAAAAAAAAAGCGGGAAAATCCTGGGAATTCTGGGGCTGGGAATGGGGAAATTCCCGGTGCTGAAGGGGGGGAAAATCCTGGGATTTGGGGCGGGGTTTTCCCGAGGAAATGAGGCAGAAAGAAGAGAGGATTCCATGAATTCCTGGGGAAACGGCAACCAAAATCCATGGAAAAATGGCCCCAAAATTCATGGAAAAGCAGCCCTGGAATTCCTGGGGAAATGGCTCCTAAATTCCTGGGAAAACCTCCCCAAATCTATGGAAAACCCACTTAAATCCATGGAAAACTCACCTAAATCCATGGAAAACTCATCTAAATCCACGGAAAATTCCCCCAAACCCACGGAAAATTCCCCCAAATCCATGGAAAACCTCCCCAAATCCATGGAAAACTCACTTAAATCCATGGAAAACTCACCTAAATCCATGGAAAACACACTTAAATCCATGGAAAACTCA